TACATCGACTCGGCCCATCCTCTTCCTCCAATCTCTCCCTTCACCAATTTGTCGACTACTATGTTTCGGTTCTCAGTTTCATCAAAAACTTGCCTTTCTTCAAATGAAAACCAATCTTCCACCAATTTCAACACCTCCTCTGATACAGTAGAACAGGCTTGCCGATCCTTCAATGGCCAACCATAGGATGTGGTCCGTTGATTCCGTTGATAACTTGTCAATAAGGTAGTCCGGCCTATTGACAAGAGAGCAGCATTGACACAATCAAATAGCAATCGCTGGTTTTTCTATCCAAGAACTCTTCAAGTAGAATTGGGTCTAAAGGGCTATCAAGTGAATACCACCTAGCTAAAACATTGCTGCATTCTGAACTATCTAATAAGTTGGCAGATGAGAGTAACTTCTTGATGAGTGTAGACCGTTCTTGCTCTTCACATTCCTTGGACAAAGCTCTGGAGGGTTTCGATGAATTTTCTAGTGGTATATCTCGAGGATTGTCATATGCTAGTGTACGTGAAATAGAACCAATAGGTGGAGACCTCGATAGTGCTTCTGTGCAAGAATACAGTAATCAGAAAAAAGAAATGTAAAAACCATGGATCCAAGCCGCAGGTTGACTTACGTGGATGGCATGAAATGATGCTAGCCGATGGTTGGCATATGCTACTGTTTGCATCGTCTTGAAATGGTGCTTCTAAAACTGAAATGGGGCTAGGCTGGTCCTGATTCTCTCTCGAATTATCAGCTTGCCTGGATTTTTCTAACAAGAGAGGAGCCTGTTGCAATCATACAAAGATTTATAAGTTGCAAAGTGGTTATGAAAAGATGTACAAATGATTATGTTAAAAAAAGCGGTGTTTATCTATGACCCAAAAAAAGGATTGTGGGAGCTCTCAAGGATAATTGATCTTAACAAGAGATGAAATTAACTTTGAAAGATATTGGCTTCAAATGTACCCTTACGTACAAGAAGTGTATTAACAAGTAACCAAGTATTGAAGGATTACCTTTGGTGAGGGAGTACAATGCTTTGGCCTATTCAAAGAAGTTGAAGAAGAGGAAACATTTTCAGTCTTTCCCTCAGAATCACAATGCTTAAAAGATCCTGATGAAGCAGTATTTCTCTCCCCAGAAGCCTCAGAATGGTCCAAACCCAAAAAGCAAGAAGGAATAGGTTTCTCCCTAGTTGCTTTCTTAATTCTAGACAAGAATAAACTCGCAACTTTCCCCTTGAAAGATGACATCCCACTCTTCGACTTAACAACAGCCTCTTTTGGTATTATGGATTTGTTAATAGTAGACTCTGAAACTTCTTCACTCAACTCAACGGTTTCATAAACTGAAGAAGATATTGGAAGAGATTTTGACCTTTCTAGGTTCATCGGTGAGTCCTGGGTGCAGCCTTCCATCTGTGGTGTCGATTCCCTCTGATCTTGCTCTCCACCGTATGACCTTCTGCTTGAGATAGTCAAATTATTAGCCCTTTCTTCTATCTGTACTACTCCAATTGCAAGCATGTCACCCAGAGTGCTAGAGGTTTTTTGCATTTGTGACTGTTCTTGACTGATTTCTTTAGAAAACACCGCAGCCAACCTCTCTGAGAGCCGTCTCTTGGCTTCCTTGATTACAGATGGTTCAGGCGAATAAAATGCCTGACTAAAAGATGATATTGAGTGAGGACTGCCTAATCTGTAGTTATAATCACAAGAATGCCGTGAAATCGGAGTCACAGACTCTGAATCACTTAAATTAGTACACTCTTCTTTGATGTAGTTAGTTTCCAATCCATTCAAAGAGCTCTCATCTCCAACATACCCGTTTGATAATGCCGGAGGTAGCAGGATCTCGTCCACCTGGTTACCGCTCACATATTCTTGCATACAGCGTGTGATCTCCTTGGCTATATCTCTAGATTCTGTCACTTCATCAGGCCCTAAACATCCATCGAAACTTCTATGTTCCGATAAATTTGATAAAGTAACAGGAGAAGTTAGCCCTGACTTCAATTCATGAGGCATTCCAAGACTAGGTTTCAAGACCACTATCCTGGTAGGCTGAGATATATTTTCAGCCTGAACAGAACTTGAGCTTTTTTCGGTCCTTCGTTCTATGCCTATGTCACTAATTACGCAATCAGTGCCTTCCAAAGCAGGACGTAGAAGTCTTCTCTCTAGTGCTTCACCTTTTGCCTCCATCACTTTTGATGGTTTCAATACAGTAATGCGCCTAGTTTGGGATGCAGGAGGCCTAGTTTGGGACTCAACAAGGTTTTTTGAGAGTATCGCGTTTGGTTCTTCAAGAAACTTGAGAAACAAATCTCTATTAGAATTAAGAACCTCAAGTGCGTCTTGAAACTCCTTTGATTGGAGAAGCTTTTCATCCGTAGCGAGACGCTTTGCTTCATTGAACTTTTGGTAAACAAGTGACAATCTCTTTTCTGTAGGACTTCCATCTCGCTTTCTATTTGGCGAAGGTTTATCCTTGAAACGAGTGTTTCTTGATGGTTGCTGCTGAACTTCGTGTACATCTTTGCATTCAACCTTATGGGCACATACTTTGGTGTCCAATTGCAAGCTGTTAGGACAGGAGCTATCTTCTTGCTCCCAGTAACCCCGAGACTGTGCTGATAAAAAGTGGTGTAAATAGCCGTCTTGTGAGCTTCTTCTGACACTTAAAACTGACTGGCGCACTGGCAACGATTCAAGCCCCATTAATTTAGCAATGACATTAGATGGATTCTGCTTAGACTGTGGTTCTCTCGACATCTCCTGTGCTATAAGCATCTTCATTGGTGTTCCACAGGATTTTTTGCTCGAACTCTTCCACATATTAGTGGTTATCTGCAGGTAACTCTTTGTAAGAACATAAAGGCCTAATAAGATTCATGCATAACTGAAGTATTATACACTACTTACTGTCTTATATTCTTTCTGAACTCCAAAGTTATCCATTGCTTTCTGCTTCACCACATCTGCCCGATTTCCATGAATCAGAGATCCTGCTGCACAATTAATTTACAATTCTTAATACTTGGAAACCACTTATAATTGCAGAGCACTATTTCAAAGTCGAAACAGAGCAATAAATAGCGAACAGTAGAAGTTAACAACCAGATTTGCGAACAGGAAGCAGAATAAATTCAAAAACATCAGACGCAGTAGCCCAACACTAATCAGGAAGCAGTTTTTACAGAGAACAATTAAGCTTTGTAGTCAGTAGGCAACTGAAAGAGAGAGAATCCAAGGATCTAGCAGTAACTCCCATGATAAATAAAACATGCACATTTTAAGATGAATGTAACAACTTAATCAACAAAATGTGAAATGCGATTCACGTTCTCAACAAAAAAAGAAATAAAGACGGTCAACCTTACAAAACTCAACCAACATGAAGAAATAAGGATCCACAAGAAGTTGAAACGAGAGCTATTTGTATCCCTCTTCCAAGGTTCAAGGTGATCATGTTTTCCAAAAACAAAGATTATACGAACCAACAAATAATAGACGCAGCAAGCAGAAAATTCACAAAAGATCAAGGAAAAGACTACCATCTTGATGTGGCTTCTCAGTAAGGAGCTTGTTTCTTGGCATTCCAGTGCTCATATCAAATATATTGATCATCCTTCCCATGCAACCTGCGGCCGGTTTCTGCAGGTCCTGCCCCTTTCTGTTCTGATATCCATTCATCTTGCCACCTGAAAACAAAACCTAAAGCATAAGATATCACGAAAATATTACCCATTTCCCCAAACTATCAACAGAAAGATTGTTCTCTGAAACCACCCACCAAAATTCACATTCGGGAAGAACAAAGCTCCTCTAGGAGCAGTATCCCCATACTCCTGTATTGTATCATATCACGAAGATCCGATTATGTTTTATGCTGACTGTCGGCTACTCAACGTCTTGGCGGAGTTTACTCCAAACACTGCAGAGAAACCAAAATATTGCGGTATAGCTAACCAATTCAAATCGATGGTCAATTTAACAAAAATTAGGGCGAGAGTTATCAATAGTTTGCACTTGCATGATGATCTATAAATAAAAGATTCCTTCCATATGACAAGACAACAAAGAAAGAGATAACTTTTCTGCAGAATCTTTTGCTTGTCCTCTGACAATGATAACCAAAAAAAGATCACTTTTTTCGCAGAAATCACAGTGTTTCACTTGGAAAAAGTAGACTCAAACCTAATCATGAATCCAAATAAAGATGATTCAGGCAATGATGTAACCCCTCGAATACTGTAGATCGATCAGTATGTAAACAAATCCCCAAAAAAGGGAAAAGAGTTAAGACAGAACAAAAAAAGAAAAAAAAGAAAGCTGGAAACACCGACAAGAAAAAAAATGGAAATAAATAAAGAGGAAATATTAGAAAATATTCAATACGATTTTACAAAATCAGCTGCATTATTCAAAAGTAAGCAAAAAAGTTCGAATTTGACACTAAATCTACTAGAATTAAACCGCCAGGTCCAAGGATAGGCTAAAAAGTTCGAATTTTAAGACAAAATCTACTGGAATTCAACCCTAGCTCCAAAATCGAAGCGGATCTTTACTACTAACACTCGATTCTACCGATCAACGATGGAGATGCGAGGAGAGAAGCAAAATCTGGCCTAGATTTGAGTGAAGAGAAGCTCAAAATCCACTGATTGAAGCCACACTCACGCTGAATCAAGCAATCCATCAAAAGATCAAGAGACAGAGCGAGAGATTCTAGGGCCTTCTTTGTTCTTCAGGGGAGCTACGATCTCATCCGAGACCCGAGAGAGTTCGCTGGCGGCGATTTGAGTGAAAAAGTGGGTGAAAGTTGAGGTCTCCTCCTGTTTTTTGGGGTTAACGGTTGAGAGAGAGAGGGAGGGGGGGTGGGTTTGAAGAGAAGCGAGGAGGATATAAATGTAATTCATTAATTTTATTTTAGATAAAAAGTTGGTGGATAACATAAAATAATTGGAGGGCTTCGAAATAAACGTGATGGTTTTCATGGTGCTTCCTGTATGTAAGACAAAAGAATTGTATTCTTAACGCAGAAAAAAGATATTTGTACATGAATATTTGTCTTCTTTGATGCTCGCTTTAGGATGTAAATTTGTCATTATTTTCAAAAAAAAGTCTTTTAGCAATTTAACAATATACGTGAGTTTAGAGTGATCAAATGAAAACTGACATCAATTTTATTTATATATTAGGGTCGGTTGGTTACGCAAAAAAAACTTAGAAATTAAAGAATAGGAAACCTAATTTCTATAATAATTGTTTTGAGTTTGTTTGGTTGGGTTAAAAAAGAATGAAATTATAGAATAGGAGATGAGATGAGATGAGTTGTCACCTTATTATTGGATGATGTGAGTGATTTTTAAAAAAAAATTGTTTTGAGGTTGTTTGGTTGGTTAAAAAAATAAGGAAATAAATTGGAGGTATATTATTGGATGATGTTTTGAGGTTGTTTGTGTTTGGTTCATTTTTAAAAATAAGAAAATAGATGAGATGAGATGAGTTGGAGGTATATTATTGGATGATGTGACACATACTTAAGGAAATCAATTTCTTGTTTTTTTTTTTTTTTTTGAGGAAATGGATGGAAATGAAGGTTTAATGTGATGAGATGAGTTGTCACAATATTATGGGATGATGTGTGTGATTTTTAAAAATGGGATAAGATGAGATGTGATGAGTTGGATGATGTGACACATTTCTTGTGTTTGGTTTATTTTTAAAGGTAAGAAAGGAGATGAAATGAGATGAGATGGAGGATAAAAATAATATTTTATTAGATGTTGTGGGTGAGTTTTAGGGATAAAAATGGATAAAAATATTATTTTATTGATTTCCTTGTACCGATTTCCTTTTTTTGGTTTTTAGGAAACCAACCAAACAGCCCCTTAAAGGCAGAGTAACAATTCTTGGACCAACTGTACGCTTTTGACACTTCAAAGCATGTTTAACACACGTAAAAATAATTTATTACATGATACAAATTAGTCGTCATTGATACAAGTTAATGAGTACACATAACTTCTTACATGATAGAAATTAGTTGCCACTGATATAAACTAATAAGCATAATCTAAGCTCTGCTACTCCCAAAAAAGGTTTACAAGTAAACACTGCATCACTAGCTTCTCTTTTGGTATTAGGGAAAATTGTATCAATGCCCCAAAAGTAATAACTTCATGTAACTTAGCCCCTCCAACTTTTCCTCATGTGCTGCAGCCCCTAAATTACATATTTATGTGATTCAGCCTTTTTTCATGTAATTCTCATGCCAACTAAGCACAAACATAGAGAAACAAATATAAAAGCTCAAAATATCATCTTCCTCCGGTCTTTTCCTTCTCTCCAAATCTAAATCTGGTCCTCCTTCCTCCTCTCCTCTCCTCCCATCCCTTCTCCTAAGCCATTTACTTCCTCCTCTTTCTCTCTTCCTTCTTTTTCTCTCAGATGCTGACATCCCCCTTCTCCACCGCTGACCTTGCGTGCACGCTCTGACCATATTATTCGCTCTTTTTTTCCACTAAGTTTCGTCGATCTCTCTTTCTTTCCCCCCAAAACTAAAAAATACCTAATTTAAATCATGTTAAGTCTAATTTAACTTATTTTAAGTCTAATTTTATATTAAGTCCAATTTAATTTTATGTTAAGTCCAATTTAATTCCTGTTAAGTCTAATTTAATTCCTGTTAAATCTAATTTAAATCATATTAAGTCTAATTCAACTTGTTTTTAAGTCTAATTTTATGTTAAGTCCAATTTGATACATGTTAAGCCCAATTTGATTCATATTAAGTCCGATTTAATCTCATGAACTGAAATTAAACTTAACATGAACTGAAAATTAGACTTAACATGAACTAAAATTAGAATTAACATGAACTGAAATTGGACTTAACATGAATTAAATTGGACTTAACATGAAATTAGACTTAAAACAAGTTGAATTAGACGTAATATGAACTGGAATTAGACTTAACATGAACTGAAATTAGACTTAACATGAACGAAAATTAGACTTAACATGAACTGAAATTAGACTTAACATGAACTAAAATTAGACTTAACAGGAACAAAAATTAGACTTAACATGAACCAAATTGGACTTAATATGAAATTAGATTTAAAATAAGTTGTATTAGACTTAATAGGAAATAAATTAGACTTAACATAAACTAAAATTAGACTTAACATTAATTAAATTTAGACTTAACTTGAACTAAAATTAGACTTAATAGGAATTGAAATTAGACTTAACATGAATCAATTTGACTTAAAATAAAATTAGATTTAAAATAAGTTAAATTAGACTTAATAGGAAATAAATAGACTTAACATGAACTATTGTTTGACTTAACATGATTTAAATTAGGCTTAAAATGATTTAAACTAACACGAACCAAACTGAACTTAACACAAACCAAACTGGACTTGACAGATCCTTTGACTAGAACTCCGATGAATTTGAGGGATTTTTAGTTTTGGGGTGAAAAGAAAGAGAGAGCGGGAAAAATTAGTGGGAGAAAAGGAGCGAACAACATGGTCGGAATGGCCGGAATCATGTTAAGTCTATTTCAACTTATTTTAAGTTTAATTTTATTTAAAGTCCAATTTGATTCATGTTAAGTCCAATTTGATTCACGTTAAGTCTAATTTAATTTATTTTAAGTCTAATTTCAATCATGTTAATTTCCTTTTAAGTCTAATTTAAATCATGTTAAGTCTAATTCAACTTATTTTCAGTCGGAAAACAAGTTGAATTAGACTTAACATGATTTAAATTAGACTTAAAATGATTAAAGTGTGTAGGATCTAAAATAGATACACTAGAACACTAGAGGATGTGTGAATAGTATTCGTTTAAAAATTTATGCAAAGTAGATTATAAATTGCAAAAAAAGAATGGCAACAATCTCAGAAAATTACAATCACAAACAAGAGTTTTTATACTGGTTCCACCAATCTGGTGTACATCCAGTCCCCAAGCAAATCCCGCTTGAGATTTTCACTATAATTTTGAATCAAGTACAAAATTAAAACCAAACCTGACCAATTTGTAAGTCCCTGCAAATTGTAACACTAATTGACAACACTTTGCCAATTGCACACCAATCCCTAAACCAAGAGATCAACCTCTCTCAAACCAAGAGACCTTTCCTTTAATCATACAACTCAATTCCTATAAGCCTTGATTTGTAGATTTGTGTAGCAGTGGCTTAGGAATAATTTTATCATCTGGAAATTGCCTAAATAATTTGTATTTTGAATGAGGATAAAAAGCAATTTCGGAAACAATCTTTTTCTTAATACTTAGCAAAATCTGAATATTTTTAACTCTTGAACAATGCACAAAGATTGAAGATTATAGGTATATGATAATGTGCCATTTTTCTGAACATATAACCTTTTTATATCCCTTGAAAAGACAAGTTTTTAAACTTTAAAAACGTTTAAAAACGGCTATAAATTGTTAATGATTCAAACATTAACGTTCAGAAAAACTGCATTAGTAGTCGACTACTCTGTAATACAGAAAGTCTGGAATTTAGAAACTGAAACTTAGTAGTCGACTATTCTTCTTAGTAGTCGACTATTCTGTATTACAGAAAGTCTGGAAAACAAAAATCAAATATCATTAGTCGACTATAATTGTTAGTAGTCGACTATACTATAAAACAAACGTTCTGTAAAATAAATTTCAAAGCTCAGTAGTCGACTATAATTGCTTGTAGTCGACTACTCTGTAAAATAAAAGTTCTGTAAATCAAAATTCAAAGCTGAGTAGTCGACTATAATCCTTAGTAGTCGACTACTTTGTAGTTTTACAGAAACTTATATTTTGAACTCAGACTTCAATAGTCGACTACTATTCTAATTAGTCGACTACTAAGGAAAAAAAATATTATGTATGAAATATTTTTAGACTCAATGATTAACTAAATACTCTAATGGTTAATATAGGGGATTTCTATTGTTAACTAACACACTAAGCCTGTGTTAGTGTGTTCTAATTTCTATGTGTGTGTGTGTGTGATCAAGTCTTGTAAAAAATTTCTAAGTAAAGAAAAATGTAAAAATTACATTGATGTATTTGTTCTTCATCTTCTTTACTTCATAATGCCTTGAACTCATCTTCCACTTGTTCATATTTGATGTTGAAAACTGCATTTAAATGTTAGTGCATTTGTATAACACACATAGTGATTCACATTATGAATAAATTGTTATCATCAAAATTATATCATGGGGACATGATATCCAACAAAGTGGACTTAACACGAACCAAACTAGACTTAACACGAACCAAACTGGACTTAATATATAATCTGTTACACTTAATATTCAACAAAATAGACTTATTATTCAATCCAATAGACTTAACATACAATCCATTGGACTTATTATTCAACCCAATAGACTTAACATACAAGACCATGGACTTCACTTCTAACCCATTAGATTTAATATTCCACATTGGACTTGAATTTAACATCAAAAATCACATTGAGCCAGTATATCTTTGAATCTTTCATCTTTTCACGACGTTCAAATAGAAATTACAAATTTCTTTAAAAAACCAATAGCTTGGATGTTATGTGGAACTTGCGACAACATCGAGCTCCTTCTCGTCCTCCTCCGCACCGCCTCCTCCGTCGTGTTCTTCGCCACCTCTTCTCCTTTAGCGTCGGAAAAAATTAGGGTTTTTTTAGTTTTGAGGGAAAGAAAGAGAGATCGGGGAAACTTAGTGGGAGAAAAAGAGCAAATAATTTGGCCGGAGCTTGCACGCAAGGTCGGCGGCGACGGAAGGGGATGTCGGCGTCTGAGAGAAAAAAAGAGGAAGAGAAAGAGGAGAAAGTACTTTAAGCACATGAGGAAAAGTTGGAGTAGTCAGGTCATATGAAATTATTACTTTTCGGACCTTAACATAATTTTCCCTTGGTATTAATTACCACAAAAATGTGAAGTACGTAAACGCGGTTGTACATCAGCTGGACAATTAGAGCTCATAAATCAAATTTGTAACATTTTAAGATCAAGTTGTAAATCATAAGCCTAAAAACAACCAGAAAGTCCATAAACATATGTACATAAATTATGATATCCATACATTATTCTCCCAAGAGAGAAAACATTATAATACAGAGAGAATATAAAAAGGGAAAACTTTGAATATAGAAGGACTATATTTTATTTTTCAGAATACAGAAGTCAAAATATATTCATTAACATCCACTTATTCCAACAAAAATACAGATGCTGATACCCATCCATTATTCTCCCCCACGCCACCAAAATATAAACATAATAAAATAGGGATAATATAGAAAGGAAAGCCCAATTTGCCATTCATTTTTCTCCCAATGCCACCTAAATGAAAACAGAATAACGCACAGTATAAAAATTGGAAGCCAAATTTGAGTAGAGAAGGTCAAAACTCTTATCGGTGTCCCTCCTGCATTATTTTTCAGCATTATTCTCATTCAAAAAAAAATCATACTAAACCAAAGTCAAGGAATGTGTCCTTGGCTAAGATAAGCAGAAGAATATTGAAATATACCAAGACCCATTTCCTAGTAACTTCCTGATGAACATAATCAAGGAATATCTCCTTGAAAAACCCATGTATTTGCCAGTATACTGAAAGAACCAGCAGTGAAGTAGTTAGAGATGACTTTGATATGAGAACAAGAGCAGGAATCAGAGCAAATGTGATCTTTTGTGAGAGCTCAGTTCTCTTAATCTTCAAGCTTTCATTTCCCAATCCACCGCTCCTCGGCTTGATGGAGATTGTTTCCAACGGACTGAAACTAGTGACTTCCTTTGTGTCCTGCATAGTCTCCCGTTATACAATATAAGGGCAAAGTCAAACAAAGACTAAATAGCGCTTATACACCTTATAGTTTCACTCCTTTATCACTTATATATCCTCAGTTGTATTTCATAGCATTTATATACCTCTATGCTGTTCAAAATTAGCACGTTAACACCCTCTGTCATGCAAACATGAAAATTTTCATCCGAAAGTTCCCATTTAATTTAAATATATCCTAATTCTATTTTAAAAATAGAATTTGAAAAATTTTATCAATGAATTCAACAAATTTAATAGATAGAAAGTTATATAATTAGCATATGAATGTTATATGGGAACTTTTGGACAAAAAAATTCTCGTTAGAATTTGCAAAACAAATGGTATTAACATGCCAACTTTGAATAACTCGGGGGGTATATAAATGCTATGAAATACAAGTGAGGGTATATAAGTGCTAAGGGAGTGAACAATATGGTATTTAAGTGCTATTTAGCCTCAAACAAAATAATGGTGTGGTAGAATTAATAAGCACCTTCTTTCAGCAGGAATTGAGTGGGATTTGTCTTTGCTGAATTTGCAGAAAACCAGCGAGGTAGAGTTTTTTCATATCCCAGAATCTACGCAAGTATGAGCATCAGAAACCATATCAAACAGGATTAAACCAGAAATAAGCAGTATAAAGTATAAACCACTAATGAGAAAAGACAAAAGATTGGTTGTTGAATTTTACATGATTATGATATTAATACTCTCAGTATGGACAATCGAGTAGCAAAAATCTCACTCGAGCAGGTTTAAGCTAATCATCTTAGTTACCCACGACCACTTAACCAGTCAGATAAACGTATTTAACCCACAATTTTTTGTCTATTTTCATAATTAAGTACATGTATTTCAGCACCACAATCTTTGACAATCTTTGTTAATTTCGACCCAATGCTAACTAACGATGGGGTACTTGAAAATTCATGATTTTCACGGTTTTTTACATTTTTATCTCTTTCCATCCAATGGCAACAAAGTACATGTATTGTAAAATTCGTGTTACATGTTACTTTTTTTGTTTGTTTCGATACAATCACAATTAAGTATGCGTACTTTAAAATTCATAATTTTCATGTGCTGTCCCTCGATTTGTGTCCATTTACGTTTGTTGAACCCAATGGAAACTGAGTATGGGTATTTCCAAATTTGCGATTTTCATGCGTTTTAACGCATGATTTTTGTCCATTTTGGTGCGTTTAGACTCTGTGGCAATTAAGTATGTGTATTTTAAAATTTAGAATTTCATGGAATTTAACTGACAATTTTTGTACATTTTTGTTGATTTTAACTCATTATTAATTAAGCATGCGTACTTCAAAATTCATGACTATTATAAGTTATAATCCAAGTTTTTTACTTATCTTTATTTGCTTTGACCCAATGACAATTAAGCATATCTAGTTCAAAATTCACGATTTCTATGGGTTATATATAACCCATAGTTTTTGTCCATTTTTGTTTGTTTTCATCTAATGACAATTAAACAGGCTTACTTCAAAATTCAAGGTTATTATGAGGCACGCATAATTTTTGAACATTTTATTTCACTTTGACCTAATGACAATTAAGCTCGCATACTTTGGAATTCGCGATTATCATAGGCTATAAATTTTGTATATTTTCATTTGTTTCGATGCATCGAAAATTTAGTCCACATATTTCAAAACCACATTTATCTCCATTTTAATACATTTCAACACAATAAAAATTAAGTGGGTATATCAAAATTTACGATTTTTATGGGCTCTAACCCATGTTTTTAGTCTAATTTTTGCTCGATTTTATCTCATGGCAATTAAGCACGTTTACTTCAAAATTTCATGGTTTTCATTAACTATAGCCTACGATTTTTTTCCTCTTCCAGTCCAATGGCAATAATGGCAATTAGGGATTGACTCTTAAAAGTTAGATGATTTTAATGAGCTACAACTCACAATTTATGTTTATTAACATTCACTTTCATGGCAAGTATGAATAGTTCAAAATTCACAATTTTCATGACCAAAAGTTTTAGCTCATTTTCATTTGTTTCAACCCAATGAAAATTAAGTATGTATACGTCGAAGTTCATGATATTTTTTACCATTTTCGTAAATTTCAACCTAACACCAATTAATGTTATGTACTTAAAAATTCACGATTACGATGTGCTATAAACCATGATTTTTGTTCGTTTTTACTCAATGGATATGAAGCACACATTTTTCAAAAATTTTAATTTTCATGGGTTATAACAAAATTTTTATCAATTTTAATTTGTTTTCAACCTAATGGCAATTACATAAAGATAATTCAAAATTCGCGCTTTTCATAAGTTATATAATCCACATGTTTTTTCCATTTTTCATTTGTTTTGACTCAATGGAAACTAAGTCCGTGTATTTGAAATATACAAGTTCTATCTATTTTCATTTGTCTTGACTCAATCGAATTTAAGTATGGTTACCGCAAAATCTCAATTTTCATGGGCTCTTGCCCACGTTTTTTGTTTGTTTATTTTCTATTCAATCTAGTGACAAGTTAGTTCGCGTAATTCAAAATATTTTTAAGGGGGAAAAACCCACAGTTTTTGTTATTTTTCGTTCATTTCAATTTAAGTTTTTTTTAGCATGAGGACACATTCATTGTTTTTCCAAATGCCAGAGCAATTTAGTCATGTTTTCAAGTGATAAAATTTCCATAGTTGCAGGGAGGGGCATTCTTAGGAAAAGGCAGTCCTAGTTTCCGAGCGTTTATTTAGGTAGGCCAAAAAACGTGATTTTAGCTAAATGATGTTTTGTTTCTTGTGTTTGTACCTATATACCTCCAATCTATCTTATTTGCATATTTACTTCCTATATCTTGCTAAACAATCGTAATGAGTTAAAACACTTCTTTCACTTTAACACCCATAACTACAGCCTTAAATTTCAAAGGAGGAAGAGTAAAGTGATAAAAATATCCCCCACCTGAAAATTAAGATTATTTTAATATAGCCTTCATGTCTGTACGTTTGCTAACTTACTCTATGAATTTTTAAGGTATTAAATGAAAGGGGTATAAAGAGTATGCAATTAGTTTTAAAAGCGCATTGGGAAATGCCAGCACACCTTACCATACTATTGTGTACATAAAACAAAAAAACAATCTCAACAATTTAAGAGAAAACTCAAACAAAAATGGGTTCATAATATGAAATTTCATAACACAGACTTAATCCCGCTGTCTACTTACAATATAAATCACAAGTACACTTAAGAACTTGACAACAAATGTATTAGATGCATTTTCATACTTCAACTTCAAATCCCGTCTCAGTTAACTCCTTCACTAGCTCTTCTTTCTCTCTCCTAAGATTCCCAATGACCATTTTGAAGTGAATCATCCTTTTCAAAAAAAAAAAAATTTTTTTGAAGTGAATCATCGATTTTTCTTTTATATTTTCATCACCTTCCTTTTTATAGTTCTCTAATTCTCCTAAGGTCCCGAATTGAGTAAATTGGAGCCAATAAAAAAATGAACATGTTTTCTTCAATGGAAGTTACAGTAATTGTAGTGGAGTTTGTGTGGATAGTTTGATGATTAGAGTCATTAGACATCCTCCTCTCAACATTAAGCCCACATAAACATTTCAAACTATAATCTCTACAAGTTGACCTTTGACTAGAAGCAAAAGGAAGACTGATCCTGCATACACAAGATTTCCATTTTTTTTGACCCAAAAAATAAATAAGTGGAATTCGTCAGTTAAAGGAATCCAGTAAGAAATATTCAAAAGTGTCTTACCTCAACAAGCATTAAGGGAGATAAACTACGAGTAGTTCATCTTTTAGATCAAATGTAAACGAAGAGGAAGATATAAGATATCGGATAAACACAATAAGAGTAGTTTAGTTTTGTGATAAATTTCAGGTTTTCACATGCGTTAACATCACTATTTAAAAGCTAACAATTTTCATGTTGAACCTGTTAGATGAGGGGGGGTCTCTTGAAACACGGGTTATAAATGAAGAGGTATCTTGTAAGTTATCCAAACTGAAAAAAGAGAAGAAAAAAAAATCATGTAAGATTTCTAGAGAACAAAAAAATAAGCACCATAGATAACATTGAGATAGGTCAAAAAATTCATTCAACGGTATATAAAAAAATAAAAAAAATACATAAATATCAAAGAATATTGCACATATCATGCACTAATGGTGATTACACGAAGAAAATTCATGAACTAATTATAAGAAACTATGATTTGATTAATGACCCATAGACACGTGATTCCTAAACACCACCTTGTACTAGATCATTTAGTTAGCTGATAATAGATTGGGACTGTCATTTACTGCTTGATAAGTCAAAAACGCTAACAAGTTGAGCTGCTTCGCTTCTTCATCTTTTGACTAAATGACCCTTAAGACAAAAGTTTCTACCATTAACACACACAGTCAATGTCCAAAACAACAAATACCTATTAAAAGGGGTCCTTAAGCTCTATAACAGCATCATCGACCATAAGTATTCCCTAATACCTTAAAATATCGATCAGGTTACGATTCGAGAAAAAGTTCAGTCATCATAGACAAAGATCGTGTGACGCTGCCATTTTTTTTTATCTGTGCAAGTACAGTCTCGATCAAAATTACACCACAACGCCTTAAAAATCTCTACCTGATACTCAAATACCAAATCAAACACCACCAAAATCAACAAACTCGACGATCACGCGGAGGACAGAACCCGATTCGTACCTTCTTGGATCCAATTACGGAGGAGATCGCCGGTGATGAAGAAGCGGCGACGAGACCGGGCCTGAGAGCGGATCTAAACGAAGGCGACGGCTGATACGATCCGAGATCGAGGGGGGAAGTGAGTGAGTGAAGATGACGAAGGCATTGTGATTGTTGAATGACGAAGGTCCTGTTTAGGGCTAGGGTTAGGGTATTGGATCGGGCCAAGAGACGAGTCGCCATGATCGTCGATCCTCGGGAGGGCAGAGTACCGGAGAGACAAGGGAAGCAAGGTGGGATACGATTTGAGCTAACGTGGGCCGGGTTCGTTTCTAACCTAGTTACGTGATGAGATCGTTAATATGAGAACATATAAGCCCAAAATTGGGGGCGGCCTGTTATCAATGTTGGCCTGCAAAATAAACGCTCAGGAAGGCCTTTTTCGGAGAATGCACTTTCCGACAACTATAGAAAAACCATCACGCTTAAAAAAATTTAACTAAATTGCTCTCGCATTCAGAAAAATCAACGAATGTGTGCTCACGTTAAAAAAACCGTAAAAAATTTATCGCACTCTGTGAAAATCCAACGTAAAATGAAACCCAAAAAAAATCATATGTTTTTTATGTCATATGGATGCACCACGCGCTTTGTGATACTAGTGTTAATAAAATTTGGGTCCGTTTACATGACTAGAAGTACTAAAAGTAAAAAGTAGATTAAGAAATAACTTTTAAAATTATGACGTAGGAAGTAGTAGAATTAAAAAAATTAATCATGTTTTTGAAAGTAATGAAAATAACACTTCTTCCATTTCTTTTGTTTTTGGATATCAATTGAAATACAATTAGGAATTAGGAAGTAACTAATACATGGTATAAACTATAGTAAATTTACCTCTCTTTATATATTTTAATCCATATTATAACGCCTAAAAAATGCTGTAGCATTTATCAAAAAGTAAAAAAAATAATACTATAGCATTTTAGGTTGAATTTTTTATTAAAAAATGGCTTGGATGCTTATGAAAAATATTAGAAGCGCCTAAGTTCAATAGAGAGATGGTAAAAGTAAATAGCTTGTTAGAGTGACATGCATGGGGTTCCCAATTCGCTCATGTAAACTCATTCTAAAAAATTAAATTGCCATAAAAATAAATCATCCCATGGTCTAATTATATATTTCCATCAAATTTTTAAAAGCGCACATAGTTTAATGTTAGAAGCATGTTTATATTGGTATATGTTCTTATTGCACATGTGTGTATAATCATCATATGCAAGATAGGCATGCGAGTGGTTTACATTAGACATTTAATATAAATATGATTCTTCTTATTTAATAGGTGTTATATGTAAAAAAAAAATGGCTAATGTGAACATCGGATGAGAAGAAAGTAAATCTGTAATGGTAATAAATACAGCGGCTTTGTGGAAGGGGGGAGACCAAGCCCGATTTTTCCTGTGGGCTATAGCAATCTGGTACGGCCCAGAACTACATGGAATGCATTCGTCTCTTTTTCATACACAAAGTTTGAAAATCGACCCATTTACAAAAATAATTGCAAAAATTGACATCTTTTTAATATATTTGTCAAAAGGATGGTTAAAACTGGGTCGATTTTAATAAAAAAAATTTATAAAACTTCACAGGACTTCATGTCCCGTGAAGTTTAAGACCCTCTAATAAAATTTGATTAACGGTGTCAACTCTTCACGGGACTTCAAGCCTTTGAAATTTGTTTAAAACTTCACGGGACTTCAATGAAGTCCCGTGAAGTCTCAGGCCCATTTTCCAGATATATAAAAACCAGGCATAACAGACTATGCATGTTTTTTAAGACATGCAGCTTCACGGGACTTCAAGTCCCATAAATCTAAAACACTCTTTACAAGTTTACGGGACTTCAAGTGCCGTGAACTTACACAGGGTAATTACCTGGCTGCTAAACTTCACGGAGGATAAAGTGCCGTAAAGTTTCAGATATTTTTTGTCTAAATCGACTCAATTTCAACCAGATGGTTGAAACTTGGTAGATTTCGACAAATATGTTGAAAAGATGTATGATTGAAACTGAGTCGATTTCGACAAATATGTTAATTTTTGTAAATGGATCGATTTTCAAAATTTGTCCCTTTTTCATAGGCGCACTTTAACTTACAGAATTCTAGCTCCACACCAAACCGCTCTCCCCGCTTCATTCGCAGATCTCGGTCGGCGGATGAACACATCCCAAGATCCTGGAAATAAACATTTCAAAGCTTTGTAACCTTCCAAATTTTCAAAGAAATAAAAAATAATTAAGTAAATTAATAATAAAAGGGTTTTTTCTCTCTCGGAGCTTATCAATGGCGGTAAATCGCTGCGACCTAATGCGACCGACCGTCGGTGTCACCGCCGCACCGGAGACGGCGCGGTGCCGTCACCTCCCTCTTCCGGTCACCGCAATCTCACCGCCGCCAGCTGTTCTTCGGTCTTCCCCTATTTATTCTTACGGTCACCGCAGAACGTTTGCCGTTCGTTCGATGTGCTCGAAACCTGCATCGTTCGGATCTCGGCTCGAGGATTCAGTGAAGAAGACGGTGGCGGAGAATCCTGTGGTTATTTACTCCAAGAGTTGGTGCTCGTGAGTCTCTTGGTTTGGTTCTTGATGTGGATTTGTGAATTCTGTGCTTAAAAAAAAAGCTGAGATTTTTTTTTTTTTGAGATTGAAGTTACTCGATGGAGGTGAAATCGCTGTTCAGGAGGATTGGGGTTGAGCCTTTAGTTATTGAACTGGATCAGCTAGGTAATGTTTCTTTTTTCTGGTGTTTTTTTTTTTTTTTTTGGTTGCGAATGAATGCTCGAATTTTGGTAGCTATGATTTTGAGAATTTGAACATCTAAGCTGCAATTTAGATCAAGAGATTGCAGATAAGATTGCAAACTAGTGTTAGAGACACGGGCGGATCTATATACAGTCCAGGCGGGGCCACGGCCCCCCAAAATTTTGGGAAAAAAAGATAGATTGGTTTCTGTAAACCACCTCCCTTAAAAATTAAATTATATTCATTTTACATAATTTATGTCTTCCTCTTTTGAAATATTTTGGAGATATTGACGTAGGCTATTCTACTCGTTTTGTTTGGGTTGTGGTGTATCTCTTGTGAATAAAATTGCGTTAAGAAAATTTTTCGTCTATCTTTTGTACGCGGTCCCCCAGAACTGAAATCCTGGATCCGCCCCTGCGATAGAGACACGAAATTTTCATTCAGTTGCAGTTAATAAGCCCAACGCGATGGGCATGTAAGCTTCCATCTTATTGTTTCAGTACTAGTTTAACTTGATCGTGTTATGATCAGTTAAAGTTAAAATAAGTTTTGCCATTTAAAAAAAAAAAAACTGCTATTAAGACATCCTACTCTTATGGAAATTTATCGTTATGTGGAATACACCAAAAAATTTCAACTAGACTTTCTATAACACCATCATTGATTACAAGAAGTGATGAATACACTAACTATTTCATTTCAATATTCCATAGCTCGACTAGGAACCTAACGGTCCCAACCCCTAAGTTTGATCCTTATCCACTCTATTACAATAAAGAGGTTAGCTTAAAGTCAGTATCTAACTAGCTAATTTGTTTCCTAGGAATATAATCAGTTTGTGTGTATCAATGAAATGTGACATGGAAAAGTATTAGAAAGAAAAAATGCTCAAAATTTCTACTTCTTGTGTAGTTCCAGTAAGTGTTAAGTTGATTAAAAGAAACAGAAATGAACTCTATGCATTAATTGGCACTTTGTTCCTGCGAGACTGGTGCTTTCTTTTACCACGCTGCTTAGAGCCTTAGACAGATCACTCTTTGAACATGTCTAGTTTTCTCATGCACTGAAATGAAGATTATTACATGTTAGACTGTTAGTAATGCTCTCATTTTAAAAAAAATACCTGGTGAGTGTGATATATTAAATTGAGCTTTATTTGGTTGTTCATGTCTGCTTACATGATGAGACATCCATACATCAGGTCCCCAAGGTCATCAGCTACAAAAGTTGTTGGAAAGATTGACAGGACAATTTACCGTTCCAAATGTTTTTATTGGTAAGCAACAACTATCATGCTTGTAACTTAAATATTTTGCAATGTCTGTATCATACGTCTAATGTTGTAATTTGATTCTATCTTTCGTGTTGAATCCATTTTGGCGAAACACATGATTTGGTCTTAGGGTAGGGTACTTACTCAGATTGAAGTATACATTTGGCAGCAACACTTTCAACAGAATGATGAGAGTGAAGCTAAAAGTACTCGTAGAAGACATGGTTCTTGTATACACAACTCAACATTTCAAATCTATATCCACTTTTGTATATGAAAAAAAGGAAAATATTGGTTAGGTTTCATAATGTACAAATATTCAGTCATTTTAGTTCAATATACAAACATGCATATTTTTCAGATATGGAACTATATGTATTGATATCTAACTTAAGATTCAATTTATATAGCACAGGATATGATTGAATATGACTAAGTTAAAAAGAAAAAAATGTCATTAACCTTCAAAGTCAACATATACACTAGCAGAAGAAAATTTTTGTGTTACATTTAGTAATAGTAATACTAAATAAACTTAGAGCAGTACATGTTCTTCTATATGTCAAATATTCATTATTCATATTTTAAATGGAAAAATACGGATGTACATATTTTTCGAATTACGTATTTAAGAGCTGATGTGAATCAAATATTTGTGTCCTTTTAGAGCCCTAATACACGATCAACCTCCACCATCTTGAACTATGAATAATATATGGAAAGTGAGAAGGGAAGAGGTGCACTTATCCTTTCTTTTAAAACATCTTTTGCATCAAACCTCCGGGAAAGAGAACTTCCAAAAAGGACCTCATACTGTACATAGTAGCTCTTTAGTGTGTCCAAGGCTGATAAAAAAGTTTTCAAAATAGGAAAGAGCAGTTCAAGACAAAATTCTCAGGCCATAATTATTTCCAGTAGGGCTTGTTTTCTGTAGAAAATTCCATTGAATCCTGATGCCTTTAAAGAAGCATGCAGCATAGGACTCAGAGGGCCAGGCTAAAGCAACATCCTCTATAAGCTCAGAATTTTTTTTATCCAACCTCGATAATGTTAAATCCATGTACAATTTTCTTCACAATATTTAGAGCAGGATTCATCATGATGCAAGGAACAGACAATGCTATAGGGAATGGCAACATCTTCCACAATTTGATTGATTGTTTTATAGGTTTCTTTTCCCCTTTTCGTTCTTCCTATTGATGCTGATAAAAAAATACAAAGTAAATTCATAAAGAGTATCACAACATATTTGGTTACTTTTAAGACCTTGTAAAAGCCATGTAGCAAGAAGTTTAACATCATATGGATTTAATAAAAGGACTTCAGAAAATGATTACTACAACAATCTTCCATTTAGAGCTCAATATCTTCATGGTTATTTTTCATCCCATTTTGACGCATCTTTATAGACATTTGTCAACGCTGTTCTTGCTACTGAGAGTGGTTGATTTGTATTACCATTGCACAGTATCTAGATCTTGTCTTTTTAAATTTATTTCATGTTAACGTTTACAGCGAAAATATGTCTCTTAATCATTCTTTTTTCTTTATTAACAGGAGGCAAGCATATCGGTGGTTGTACAGGTACAGGCCTCTTCTACATCTATCCTTTTGTGGTAGTATGGTTCTGATAGAATAGCGTCAAATCTTGTATGTTATTACATTATAGTGATTGACATCTTTAGGTAGAAGATCTGGAGGTTTATTACTTATAAGAGAAGATTGCAACCATAAAGAAACAGCTCATAATTTTAGAACAAGAATAGTCAAATGACTTTACTTAAGACAGTAGGGTGTACTTCAATTCTCGAAGTTGCAACCTTACTTTCAACAGTTTGAGCCGACCCAGTGATTTACAAGTATATTAGAAAGCACTATATTTTCCTGTTCTGATGAGCATATAAGTTTTCACACTGAGGGAATATTAACTTCACTCTTTAAGATTTGCATATGTTTTATGCGCTTCTACAAAGTTTTTTTCTGTCAACAATTTTATCGATGCAGATACTGTGAGACTTCACCATAAAGGAGAGCTGACTACTCTACTATCAGAATTGAACATCAAGACCAAGAGTTTGCAAAAACCTTGAGTTCTATATTCCAGCGTCGAACTTATTGAATTTGGCAGATTAACCTATCTACTATCCATTCTCCTTGTGACTCCTATTGACTAGTGGAGTTGGTTGAGCAACCAAGATATTACTTGTACAGAGGTCAATAAATACAATGCAGTATATGGAATTTATTTATTTTCACAAATTATTTTTCTTGTTCATTATGGTGACTACAATGTCATTTAGTTTCACTTTCGTCTCATTTTCTCCCATCTGTTTGTCTTCAGTGCTATCAGGTGATTGAAATTGAGCCACGAGTGCATCAACCTAGTTATTTTGCGACGTGAATACCAGACAGAATTATCTATGACTTTGATGGTTTCTTTCTCACATTTTGTCAAGTGGTTTGAGTTTGTAAACCTTTCCTAATGTATTGTTAATCTTAGGAAAAATTTTGAAAAACGACTCTTTTTTAAAATTAATAGGCAAAATCGACCGTGTAACAATAAAATGAGCAAAATTGACCCTTTTTTGCACGGGACTAGTAGTCCCGTGTAAAAAAGGGTCGCTTCTGCAAAAAAAAATTTGTCCGGTCCTCAACCCATCCCCTCATTCCCCCTCTCTCTCTCTCCTTCATTAACCCATCCCCTCTCCATCTCTCTCTCCCTCTCCTCCAATCCCACACCAGACCCCCTCTCTCATCTCCGTTCCCTCTCTCCATCTCTCCTCCCTCTCCCTCAAACCCAACAGCAACCCATCACCCCTTCTCTCTCTCCTCCATTCCCCAAACACCAGCCCAACCAACTCTTCCACTTCCACCGCCCAACGCCCCTCCTCCATCGCCATCGGGCCGCCCAAGCCGCGCCCACCTCCTCGACCTACACCCGACCACCTCCCTGAGCCCAAGCTCCGACCCGAGCCCCCCCTCTCCCTCCAACCCCCTGCTCCACCGCCTCCTCATCATCTCCACCACCATCAGCCCCGACGCCGCCGTGAGCTCAACTCCACCTCCTCCGCCAGCTCGCCGCCGCCGCTGTCCTCCGTTCCCCTCAGCCCCGACCACGCTACCACCCGCCGTCACGCCGAGCCGCGCCACCACCCAAGCCCTCCCCCGCTGTCCCCTTTCAGCCTGACGCCCAAACCACCAGCCCCGAGCTTCTCCTCAGCCTCGCCGATGCCTCCTCCAACAGCCCCGACGTCCCCTCCTTCTTTGCAGATCCGTGCGGTCCGAACCCACCACGCCGCTTCCCTCCAACCAGATCCACCACCTCCAGCAGATTCGCCCCGCTCCTGAAGAACCGCAGCTCGACACGTTCTACTACGTGAGCATGAGCGGGATCAGCGTCGGCGGCGAGATGCGCGACGAGATGCTCTCCGTACCCCGTCGACGGATTTCGGAGTGAAGGTGTCGGTGCTGGTGGTGCAGTAGTGCAGGGGGTGAAGTGAGGAGAGTGTCGGGGGGGTTTTTTTTTTTTTAGAAGCGACCCTTTTTTGCATGGGAATAGTAGTCCCGTGCAAAAAAGGGTCGATTTTGCTCATTTTATTGTTACACGGTCGATTTTGCCTATTAAATTTAAAAAAGAGTCGTTTTTCAAAATTTGTCCTTAATCTTACTGAATGGACTTTATCTTTGCATAACAAAAAATAAAATAAAAAAGAGGTGGATAGAGGGAGAAGCACAATAGAGAAAAAGATCAGGCTACAACATTTGCTAAAACTTGTAAAGTATCCCGGGAGGGTAGCTATAAATTGAACAAATGAGTACAAAACTGAGTGTTCTTCGAAACAGAAATCTGGAGACACAGGAAGAACTCAGTTGACCCCCACGAGCTCATCTAGGGGATAATTATTCGTATACACAACAGCATAACTGACATCGTTGAACCGAACAATGACTGGATATTGTGCAGCAGGATCCTGCAAATCATTGCAAAATTTATCAGAGTTCAGAACTGAAAGAAAACATCCAGATCAAAATCGAAGGGAATGTACCTGGTCGACAGCTACAACTGATCCAATCCCATCATATACCAGTAAGACTCTTCACGGAGAATTCTCACCTGATACGCTTCAGTTTTGAAGTAGAGGAAGTTCAACCGTGTATATACCTCAAATCTCTAGATCTGTACCCTTGTTCCCTTCTTCGGACCAATTGGCTGTGGCTTTACTGCCTCCTCGGTTTCATGCTCAAAGATCGATGTTGCTGTTTCCTCCTTTGCTTGAGCCAGCAATCTTCTTCTGGGATGTGAAATTCTTTTGTTAAATGCTAAAGAGATCCTCAGATGGAGTGTTTTTAGTGTCAGTAACACTCAACGGTAGTAGAAACTAGGAAGCTCTCGAGCTCATGCTCACGGCTGCCATGGGCTCCGCCAAAACCTTGGATATGCATGCAATTCTCCATATATCCCGTGCATGGATAGATTTAAAATGAAGGTTGATGCAAAATATCTCGCAAGTTGATCATAGTTAATTCCTATTATTGGCATATTTTGAAATCTTGCTACGTGGTACTCACATTTTGGATAACCTTATCTACTGCTACCAGCAGGGTAAGTAGGGATGACATCGTACAAGCGTTTCATTCATTGTTTTAAATATCCCCGACATGGCCCGATATATCCCCCGATATATACTTTTACAGGGTTCGCCGCAACCGATATAGTCTTTAAATATCATTTACCGGTTTTTGGCTATTTTGAGTGATAAATCCCTGATATGGCCGACATATTAGCCGATGTGTGGACCATATATCTTTTTATATAGCTTGTTGCAAAATAATATACCGTGTTTGGAATTTTTGGGCGAGATATCAAGATTTCCCCATTATATCAAATGACATTTTACCCTAAAAAAAGCAGATCGAATGTTGCAACGTTGCTTTACACTTTTGTTTGTTTTAGAAGGTTGATTAGTGATCCTAAACATATATTATTCTTGCACTTTTGTTTGTTTAGAAGGTTGATTAGTGATCCTAAACATATATTATTCATATTTTGTATGCTTAAATTTCCTTACATATGTTGAGATTACACTTTAATATTATGTTGAGATTACACTTTAACGCATTATACTATGTATGCAAACATTCATTATGGCATTCCGATATTTACCACATATTCCCGATATTTCCCCGATATCCACAATCCGATATGAATTTTGACCATCCGATATTTCCTCGATATCCGATATTTAAAACCTTGGTTTCATTGGCAACAAAGAGTTGTGGGTTCAACCCTACTCCATATATTCTGTCAAGACGAAGATAGTTTTGATCTATCCTTATGATTTATTCGCAAAAGGGTCAACATAACTTCTTTGGTGCGACCCTCAGACGCTTCAAAAGAGCAAATCAACAGAAAAAGAGCTTCAAACATGCAATCTATCAGAGGTGACCAACATACAACCAGCAACAAGAGTAGATCGATGATAAGCCGTATTGTTTAGTAATTACTTACAAATAGCAATAACAGCGGAGCCCTCATCACTTCACATTAATTCTCAGCAGTAGCGAAAAAAAAGACTGCATCATGGCAACACTCAAATATTATAAGCAACATCACAGTCAAATATTATAAGCAACATCAGCACACGAAAAAGATGGAATCATTGCATTATTGTCATTTTATTCATTTTGTTCCACAGCTCATCATGGAAATAATCATGGCAGGTTCCTATTACAAGGCCGAATAAACGAAAGTATTCCTCAGTTTCCCCTCAAGCTACACTGATCTTCGCCCAAATCAAAAAAGAAATCTCATTTCATGCCAATGAGTTAAACATGAAAAACCTATGAACTAAAGGTCATGTTTCTGATCCTAATTTATATATTTGAGATTGGTACACCTTCATGTGAACTTAGTTTAGTAATCCATTCCGCCCATGCCGCCGCCCATTCCAGGCATTGGTGGTGTATCCTTCTCGTCTTTAGGGAGCTCCACGACAACAGCCTCGGTGGTTGTCATCAATGAGGAAACACTGCAAACACAATGAGAAGGTAAAAATATGAACAATATCAAGCCTGCGTGAGCTATAAGCACAAATGAAATATAAAGTACTTCTTACTAGGCGTCAAGCAAAAGAAGAAAGAACCAAGATGATTCAAAATCTATTGGACCCAAGAAGTTACATGAATAAGGGGAAAACAATGCGACTATGGGCAGTGCGATGATTTTCACAGTGCTTGATAGATTTTCGAGGCGTGAAGTTTCTAGGAAAATAGTCTTAAAAGCCCCTAAGTTTTACCCATTTTTTCTAAAAGCGTCCAACTTCCTTTTTTTTGACAAAGAAGCCCCTAAGTTTTACTCCTCTATTCTAAGACTTCCTTTTTTTGTCATTAATTTTTTTTTTTTTTTTTGACATTGGAACTCCTAGAATCTCCTCTTCTCTTCTAAGAAGCCTGCAGGTTTTCTGGTTAGCTTAGGGATTTCATTGACGAAAAAAGAAAGATCCAATTAGAAAAGAGGGGTAAAACTTATGAGCTTAGTTGCCGATAAAAGAAATGTGCATCTCTTCCAGTAAAGCAAGAATTAGACCAATCATTCATACTAAAACGATAAGATAGAAAAATTAGGAATGCTGTAGACATGCTGTGTTTACTTGCTAAAATTGTAGGCCTAGCAATGAAATACTGCAGACATGCTGTGTTATAATCCATTTGGTTCCAAAGTTATAGACATAATCTAGCTTATTGTGTTCCCTGAAAATGTGGGACATTTATAAGATCAGAAATGTGTATTTCTTCCAATAAAGCAAGAATTAGACCATCCATTCATACTAAAAAAGATAGAAGAATTAGGAATTACCTTGCAGCATCCACTAAAGCAGTTCTAATAACCTTCAACGGGTCAATAATACCAGCCTTTACCATGTCAACATATTCACCTACAAGTTATTGGGTGAAAAAAGATAAATGTGAGAAAACACATGACCAAAGCCACCATCATTTGGCACAATATCACCCAGCGACATTATCAAAGAAAGGCACACCTTTCGCAGCATCATATCCAAGATCTGGATTGTCCTGTTCCAAAAGCTTGCCAACAACAACAGCCCCCTCAACTCCCGCGTTAGATGCAATTGCATGAACAGGAGTCTGGAATTGGGATGAAGTATTTCATAATATAAACAAGAAGCAAGTAATAAGAATGAAGATGTGCACTTCAAATTTGCAGCTAAATCAAAATATCAAGATCAAGCATGTAAAAATTGATTCTGAACCTTCAGAGCATTCTGAATAATTTGAACACCGATCTTCTGATCAAAGTTGGCTGTTTGCAACTTATCTAGCTCCTTGGATGCATAAAGGAGGGCAACACCACCACCTACGAAAGAAAGGTCAGACACTTGGGTTGTCTAAAGAAAACAACGTACATAGTACACTGCAGGGCATAAAAGTACCTGGAACAATTCCTTCTTCAACTGCAGCCTTTGTTGCATTTAGAGCATCAGTAACTCTATCTTTCTTCTCACCGACTTCTGCTTCACTAGCTCCTCCAATCTGCAAAACTCACCAACAAGAATATTACCAAAATAATAATAATAATGCTGCACTATCTATAATTACAGAACTTATTTGTAGGAACAAGCCAGGTGAAATAGACCTATCGAGGGAAGAAAAATGCTTTTCCCCCCTATTTGAGAAACCCTCAATTTCATCTCCTAGCGCATTCACATATAATCAATTTACTCAGTAAGTCCTTATGAGGTTCATAATAGTAGCTACAAAAATTATATACTATGGAAGCAGTTATCTCTAGCATCAATGCACTAAACTGTATCAATTGATTAACAAAGAAAATAGCATGTTGTGATCATTAAGTACCTTGAGAACAGCTACTCCACCGGAAAGCTTTGCCAACCTCTCTTGTAACTTCTCCTTATCATAGTCAGAAGTGCTTGCTTCGACTGCGGACCTTATCTATGAGTGTTAGAATGTTAGAATGTTAGTCACCACAATAAGCAGTAAAGAAAGGAATCATTAATTAAGATAAACATGACAAAACCTGATCACATCTCTCTTCAATGGCTTTCTTGTCACCAGCACCATCAAGAACAACAGTATCATCTTTTGATATTGTCACCTGCATTTTAATTTGAAATTTGTTTAAGGTAGTTAAAAAAAGATTTATCCAAATACAACTACCGTCTCTTTGCATTGTCACCGGATATGAACTGCCATCATCTCCCAACTCTTAAAATATTCGGATCAACTAGAGAGCTCAGCAAAACAAGTTCATAGCTCATAAACACTGTAACACTGCATAACAATTCTAAAACAAAAGAAAAAGTAGGTGCGTATCTCACCTTCTTACAGGTACCAAGCATGTCATACTCCACCTTCTCTAGATTCATGCCAAGATCCTCGTTGATGAGCTAAATGTACAATAAATAAGTCATTATTGATCCACAATAATCTAAATCATGACATCAAAAGTAGTTATTATTGTAGAATAATCAAAATCAGGAAAGAAGTTGCTTATCCACAGTAATCAATCTAAGAATTAACTCACCTCTCCACCAGTGAGAACAGCAAGATCCTGCAGACCGGCTTTCCTATTTTCTCCAAACCCAGGTGCTTTAATAGCACAAACCTACAGTAATAATAGTCCAGTCAAAAAATGATCAACCAATGACAACTAAAAAGGAAAGGTTAATACTTATATTTAAACAGAAAAGAGGAAAACCTTGATCCCAACACGAAGCTTGTTGAGGATAAGAGTTGCAAGCGCATCGCTTTCAATATCTTCAGCAACAATAAGCAAGGGCTTTTGCCTCTGAAAATTTGAAACCCAATTGCAGCACAAGATTAAATCCATCATTTGGACAAAATTACTCCACAAACATAGCAAGTCAGAAAAAGAGAAATCCTCACATACCTTCAGTGCCAATTCCAACACCTTTACCACTGCTTGCATGCTAGAGATCTTTTTCTCATAAATCAAGATGAGAGGATCTTCCAATTCCTGCAAGAAACAAAAACAAAAAAGAAAATTAGCAAAAATGCATTTTTCACAAGCACTAAGATATCGACTAAATTCATTAGAAAAAGTTTCTTACACATTTCTGATTCTTCTGGTTAGTGATGAAGTAAGGTGATATGTAACCCCTGTCGAGTTTCATACCTTCAACAACTTCCAACTCATTGTAAAGTGTTTTTCCGTCCTGTCCATCAAAAAATTTAAGTTAAGACATTCAATAGACACAACCAACGCATAACCACACATGAACGACATGCCAAACTCCTCAGCAAAGAACCAAAACTACCCCTGCATTATGGCGCTCAAGTTTTCTAAACAGAACGACTGTATGTTCAACAGGTTAAAACTATGCATTCTTCCATACGAGATGAATCGAAACTAGACAAGTGTAATGCAAATGGTCCAAATGATAACAAGAAGATCCACATGCCATAATCATGAAGAGGATTTACAGGTACAACTTATCAGTATATACACTTACTAAAAAAATTTAAAGCAGGGGAGAATAATTTTTATGAATTAAGCTTATGTGTGTCAGAGATGCATCTACAGATAATTCATAAAGCAGGGAATAATAATTTTTATGATATATCTTTATATCTTTAGATACATCTCTGACACATACACACACACAGAGCACACATAGGATAGATTCTATGGAACAATGTAACACAAGAGAAAGTTCAGCTTGCACTAAACACCATAAAACAAGAGAAATTTAGGCATCCCTTACATGTCTGGTGAATTCTTCAACAAAATACTCAAGGATGAGATGCATATAGAGCCAAGCACAATCATAGTATGAGCAGTTAGAAAAATCTATATTCAAGAACATAATAGCAGTCACCAGACTTCATAGAAAACATAAGTTACTCACATGATAGAAGACTAAAGGATAATTTTTATATACAATTGTACGAGCATTACTTATTCACATGATTAGGAGGAAACTAAAGGATAAGAGAATTAGTTGCTCACATGATTAGGAAGAAGACCAAAGAAAATTTTATGTACAATTGTATAAGCAATACTACAATCCCATTGAGCAAGTGAGTCACTACATGGCCAATGAGCACCGTGCACATGTTCACGCAAATGACAGTAAGTGAACAGAACTTACTTGAATAGTGATGACTCCCTCCTTCCCAACTTTCTCCATGGCCTTTGCAATGAGTTCACCAATTTCTCTTTCTCCATTAGCTGAGATAGTGCCAACCTACAAATTAAAAGCATTGTGAGGGAGGGGGGTTATATAACTCATTATAACCTGTTTTGTAACTTAACGATGCCTTCTTGCTAGGTAATACATCCATTTAACGTTGAAATTGTTTAACCCAAAAAACAAAACATGTTATACTATATTTTGTTAAATGTGTGTTACATTATATAACCAGTTAACATGGGTTTTTTAAGGATGTGTGTGTGCAACTCCACTGTCCAAATTATTTAAACTCTACCCCTTTTAGTCCCGATCAACAATGTTACAGAAGGCGCTAGGCGGACTAGGCGTTTGAGCCAGCACCTAGTGCTTAGACACCTAGGCGTTTGACTATTTTTTAAATTATTTAATTATAATAATTAATAAAAATATGTATTAAATTCATATAAATTTACAAAAAAAAGATAGCAATTTTAGATCATAATAAATCATGCATCCTTAAATGATAAATAGCCAAAATAATAACTAACAATGTTATAGAAAGTGCTAGGAGGCCTAGGCGTTGGACCCATCGCCTAAAGCCTCGGAGGTTTTTTTTTTTAAATTACAATAGTTGATAGTAAATGTTAATGTTATAGAAAGCTTATGCGTCGGACTGGTGTCTAAGCAATTCTTTCTTCATTTAAGTGATGGACAAGAAGGTTTTGCTCAAGGTCGGAGGAGATAATGGAGGTGTTCATATTTAAATGTCAAAGGAGTTGAAGGATGTTAGAGGACGTAGAGGCTGCAACACAGAAAATCACGATCAAAATCTAAAGGGTACAGTCCACATAAGTAGACGATGCTCCTCTAAACACTCCCAAAACCTAGGTGGGCAGCCTAGGTATCGCTTAGACGTTATGCACTAGTTAGATGGCATTGGTAACGCCTAGGTCTAGGCATACTCCTAGGCAGACTAGGCGGAGGTTTTTTAAAACAGTGTCGATCACCCTATTCTCTTCCTATGAATATGCAATCTCTTTTCCTGCTATCAACGGCTTCTGTGACTCCAGTAAAGCAAATTTTTTATTTCTAATTATGTATCGGACGTCTTGGTTTATATCATTTAAATAAGTAGTGATTTTGAAATTATCTTTCAAACTTTAATCTATTATATTGCCAATTTACCCAAAATCACATCAAAATTGTTGCTCCAATGCTTTGCCTTTCAACATAATTTTTTAAGATGTGTCACAAAATTAAGAGTATATAGGTAGGTTAATTGTGTTGGTCAAATAATTACTCTCAGTTATTACTTGATTTTAATTAGTTTTTAGTTTTTAGCTTTTGCTTTTTATTTTAGTTTTTAGTTTTTAGTTTTTAGTTTTTAGTTTTTAGTTTTTAGTTTTTAGTTTTCAGTTAATACTAGATTTTGTGAAATTAAGTTTGCATCCAATCTCCATATATGGAAAATTTCTTATTGTTGTTACATAATCATGTTTAGCTTGATTGATCTAGTGAACTTAATTAGGAATTAGAATATTTTTGTGACGTTAAGAACTCGAGAGTTAGAAGTGTTTGGTTTATTTTTAGACTTATTTGTCTTGCCTTAGACTTGAAGTTAACATATTTGATATTTGATAATTTGATGATATTTTTTAGAATGGTTGTTAGTCATATATGACTAACTTTTGTTAAAAAATTGTGATACTATATTGTTATTTTTTATAATTGTAATGTTATGTTTAAAAGGTTTGATGATTCTAAGTATTAAAGTTATTATGAATTGTTAGTATTTATAAAATATCTAAATAATGAATAAACAATATAACATATGTTATGTGTTACGTTTTTTTGAGTTTTTTCCTTAACCCTTAACAGGAGCCAAATGTCATGTAACCATTTTTGTTATTTTCAACATTGATTAAAAGGAACGATAAAAGCAAAAGAACAAAAATACAAAAATACTACATCAAAAAATGTAACATTTATATCTTTCAATTTCAGTCAGTGTTGTGGTAACCTAAGCAAAATATGAGCATGAACTAACCAAACTAAACACGGGAGGCATAGAACATGGAGTTCTGCACTCCTAAAAGCTTATAGCTACCTGGGCAATCTCTTCTGATGTGCTGATCATTCTGGCCCTACTCTTCAAGTTAGTTACAACAGAATCAACTGCCATTGAAATACCACGCCTTAGATCCATTGCATTCATGCCAGCTGCCACTGACTTGCACCCTTCAGTGAATATTGCTCTCGTAAGGACAGTGGCACATGTCGTACCTACACAATAAGAATTAAAAAAATTGAAGTTAGAGCGTACCAACAACAATTATGGCACAGGAGAACAATGAAACATCACAAAACTCAATCAAATATCTAATGCTAAATGTCCTGTCCTGCATGGAAACTACTGATAATTTCCATTAAGCAAACACTTATTACATATATTTTCCTTTCTTGAAACCCTTGAGTAAGAAATGAATTTAACAAAAAAAGTTAAGAGAAGGGGAAAAATGGAGCATTAACACCTTTATTTCCCTTGTTTACAAGTTCTTATTTTTTTTATTTTTCACTCAAAACATAGAAATACCCACCATCACCTACAGCAACTATGAAAGAAAAAACTCACTATGAAATTCTAGATCTAAAAGATATCACTTAAAAAGAGTTAATAACATAAAAGTTAGATATACATCATTTTTATTGCACAACAGTCATAAAAAAAAACTCACCATCACCAGCAACATCATTGGTTGCATTTGCAACCTGTTTCACCAAACTTGCACCCATGTTCTTCACTCTGTCTTTAAACTCGATGCTCTTCGCAACAGTAACACCATCCTTTGTAACTTTTGGTGCACCGAAGCTTTGCTCTAAAACAACATTGCGACCCTAAAATCAAGATAATATGTAATTGATTAATTCAAGAGAGCACAACAACCTAGAAGCAAAATGGCTATAAGAAAAGATAATTATTGAACATTATAATAACATAATGCAAAGACCAACACCAAGAACAATAGGTGCTGGTCACTAAGGTATTGTTTGATGAAGGGTTATATGAGGTGTTAAGGACAGTTAACCCCTCCTTAGCCTGCCAAACACAAAAAAAATTTACAAAGGAGGTAACAGTGTTTTAAAACTAGGCCGATTTTATCAATTTATCGCTGATATATAAGGTTTGGGCCATCGCTGATACGATTTTTGCAAAAATTTATCGCATATTATTTTTGGCCGATTTGTCCCAATATCTCGGTGCAAATCAGATAAAGCAGCCGATTTCTCGTGAGTTAAAAATTGCCCGATTTTCTACAATTTACATTCTAAGTGAACTGGTTTGAGTTTGGAGGAAAAAACTAGCCTTTTTCTATATCTAACCCACATCCACTAAACAAAAATCGCTATCCTATTCTCTTTCACATCCGTTCATTGTGTAACCCTAATTCTCTCCACCTCCACTGTTCTCTCCCCCAAATCACTCGCAAATTTCGCACTTGAAGACCTACTTTGACGACCTCTCTCAAAGGCCCTCTCTTAATATTTCATTAAATGTGTCTAGATTACATGTTAGGCCATTATTTTATATACGCTCACCATCCAATATGACACTACGATTTTTACTACTTATATCCCTGATATAACCATGATAACCAAGATCCAGTATGTATTTTGGTCATTTGATATATTTCTGATAACCGATATTTAAAACCTTGGGTGTACATTGAGTTAACCCCTCATATTTTGCCAAACACAATATAGTATAAGGGTTTACAAATCCCTCCAGAGAGGTTAAAATGAGCTAGCCTGGTTTTCCAAATCCACCTATTTAGACGGGTTAAGGGATAACCGCTCTATTTATATAAAAGGTATTCATAATCATTCTTTCCAAACATCAAAAATTGGCCACAATGATTGAAATAAACTAACCTAATGGATTAAAATATCTAACCCTTCTGGTTAACAAATAGGAAAACTATTTTAACCCTTCTCATTAATCCCTCCTTAACTCTTTGCGAAATGGGACCTAGCTATTCAACTTTATAACTGGAACTTAAAAAATTTTAAATTGCAATTTCTGTCAAAGTCAAATCGTTTGCAATTTCAATTAGAATGCAATTGTATCTGTTGTATCAACATGTTGTAATGAAATACATTTTCCTGATAAGAAAAAACACATCCAACACTTCTCAGATTGAAGCCTTGAAAAGTATTGGTTCACAAACTCTTCCGCTGTGGGAAAAAATTATATTTTTAAGGTAAAAATACTCGTTGCCATCAAACGGAGGCATAATCCTGATTTGACAAGGATGAAGACCATGACAAACATGTTAAAAATTACATCAAGACACAAACCATAATAAAAATCTTGAAGATGATTAGACACCTTTTCCCGAAGTCGAAATAACTTTAAACATTAACTTCCATCCTAAATTTTTGTAAAAATGCACACTAACCTACTAATATTAGTGAATGCTTAACTAAAGCGACTGCATACCATATCATCATCAGCTAAGTCAATGCTCAAGACATTTATGTGTTAAGTATCAAACTCAATTTTATAAATTGTAGTTGCTATATATTAAAAGGCATAAGATGAGCACATCAAACTATAAGAAACTAAAAAACTACAATCATTCAACAGATAATCATCAACAAATCAAAAATTGAAAAAAAAAATCAAATCCATACCTTAGGTCCCATGGTAACCTTCACAGCATCTGCAAGCTCTTCAACACCCCTAAGCATCAAAGCTCGAGCCTCAACCCCAAACTTGATGTCCTTGGCCGCATAATTTCTGCTCCAAGCAAGCCTACTCCCGATCTACACAGCCAAAATCCATAAACATCAATTCACTAAACTTTTATGCAGTCTAATCAATCAACAAATACTCAAAAGATTTCTCCTTTTCTGTCGCAAAGACCAAAAAACAAGATCTAGAGCAAAACTAGCAGAATTCATCAAGATGAAACCCTAACCTGACGGCCGCTGCTGCTTGCAGCCCTGCAAAAGAGAAATCGAAAAGATCAGTGAGTAATCCATCGCCAAAACTAGAACAAAGAAGTTCAAGCCCTAGATCTTGCTATAGATCTGTGTTCCCTCTTCACTTCCCTTACCTGGCTTTGGAGGCGAGGCCGGCTGCTGCTCGATACATGATCGATGGAGGAAACGAGAATGTGATTGCTAGGGCTAGGGTTAGGGCTCTCACGATCTGAGAGGAGGAGACGAGAGAGCGCTGCTTAAGAATGATGGAGGTAGTTCTAGAGAGAGAGAGAGGAGGGGTCTCTAGAAGGGTCGATTAGGGTTTAGGGTTTTAGGTCTGTTGCTCCGCGGGTTAAACTTTGTTAGAGATTATCTGCTTACGTGGGGGCTATGCTGTGGACTATACAGAGGAGAGTAGGATAAAGAAAAGGGTGGGGCTAATGTGATCCGCGCTGCAGCTAGTTTCAAGTGCCCGGGTTAGTTTGTTTTCGTTTGGCGGCTGGACCCAGAAGAGCGTGGGTCAGCTCCGGTTAGGGCGGTTGGACTTGGACCTCGATTTTACGGACCCGACATTAAATTAATCGATTAGATGGTGTCCAATATGTTTCACATCTATCTATGAATAATCTATAGTTTGCACTTAAATACCTTCTAGTTTTTCATATTTGGCATTTTATACCCTCTTTCGTCTTTTGGCAGAAGTTATATATTATATCGTACCCCTAAAGTTTTTTTCCGCCTTAATACCTGACATCATTTTCTTCCAAATTTCCTCATGACAAAGCTAAAATTGAAACTTTTTGGCATTAATATTTTATAAATTTACTGTTAAACTTCACCACATTTCATTTTTAATATATAATTATGGTAAATTTAAAATATGATATACTTAACAAGCATAAAAGTCTTAAAAAATTATAAAATTAGTTTGTGAATGTCATATGGGAACTTTTGAGAGAAATTTCTCATGCCTACATCTATTCTTTTATACAACTACATCTATTCCTTTATACAAATGGGAGAACCTAAGATTCACTATTCATACTACAGTAAACACTACAGTATCGTTTGTATTGATTACATCGTTTGTATTAGTTTTTGAAGATAGCAGATTTCCCTAATGTGGAAACCCTGGATGTAGGCTGAACCACATAAAAACTCTCCTCGTTGTGTTCATGCTTGTACTCCTTATTTGTGCGGTTATTGTTTTGAGTGCTTCATAATCCCCAACAACAAAGATGTTTAGAAAGATGAAATATTTTGAAAACAAGCAATTTTTCTTATAAAAAATACCAATATGCATAATGAAAACTTTCTTCTTTATATCTTCAAATTCAGATTGTTTTGCCAAGATAAACTAGCTTTTTACACAATGCTAGTGCACATATCATCCTACATCAGAACTTGCTATGGATCATCATCATAAGGCACACCGAAGCATGGAAAAAGTGGAATTTTTACAATTGGCTCCCCGTGAAACTTAAACTCTAAAATTGCAGCCGTATACTTTGACAGACACAATGAATAATTTTCTCTCAGGTCCAAGTGCTGTAGTTTTCCTGCAACAAATACCGAATAGTAAGATTTCATTCCTGTAATCATGATTGAAAATGAGAAAACTAATCATTTGTTGCTTGATATGTTAATTGTGTATTTCACTCTCTAAAATTCGGATAGGTTCCATGAGTAACACGACGCAATTAAACTTTCAGAACACTATAATGAAAATAAAAACAAAATAATTTGCATTTTCTCTGCCATAAATTACATGGGGACCAACGCTCTCACATGAAATATCAGAAGGTTGGTGCTCTCGTTAATTAAGCATAAACAAAGGCATCGACTAACATCTAATATGAGCAGCAAGATCCGCTATTTTCTATTTTACTGCGGTTTGACACCAGACATATCTTGAGTAAGTGATGTAGTTGGCATAAAGTTTAAAACAAGACCTTCTCACTCAATTCATGTATTACCTTATTAGGTTAAAATGCAGTCCCATCTGACTTGCATGAAAATAGCACGAAAATTCAGGATGGAAATTTTCGCTCTTTCACCATTTTAAATTTGAACCCAGCTACTTTAAGCACAGTTCAAACGGAAGAAAATTAGAAAATTGGTGTTACATAAAAGTTAATTGTCTTATAATGAAAGGATGATAATCTATGATTCTTAGGAAATTTATGACATTAGACCTTTCCCATTCCCCTGTCATGTCATTTTTAAACTGCAAAAGGCATCATATACTGATAAAATTATATGCTCCCTACATTTGCTTCTATTTTTTCCTCACACCTGTTCTTGGCTTCTAGGCAAAGGATTCTATGGTTTAATTCTAATATTGCCTCTTCTTCTACTTGAACAAGTCAGAAGTACTTACAAGGACATGAAATTGATTGATACAGTGCACAATTTGTTCCAAGCACCTAATATCTTATATGGCAAAAAATAAACTATCATACTGCATATGCGTACCTTTTGATTGTTTCAGAGCATTATGAATGATTGCCAATGACTCAGCAGGCATTATATTAGCTTCTGCATTGACTATGACAAGATTTGGTGCATGCGAAATTAGCTGTGAGATGAAATGTGCAGCCCTTATCCCTCCACGGTTCATGCTGCAAGCAAAATGTTGATATTGTTAATCACTAACGTAACAATTCCATTTTTATACTAGTCATTCCATGAAAACAGAATGCGGTAACAACCTTATGTTTATATATGCAACCTCCACCTTTTCCTGCATTCCATTCTCAAGCTCTTGGAAACCCAGTGCGCCTAGCCCAATATCTGCAATGTTAAGTTTTCTGACACGTGATGTACCCAAAAATTCCATGATGGCTGCTGATATAGAACTGGAGAAAGAAATAAACCACTGAGTGATTTAAAACAATGTTTCTACTATTTCTCAATTAAGAGTATGAGAAAAACGACACCTTCCAAGCTCATTCTTCGCTATAGAGAGACTGTTAAGTGGTTCTCTGGTAGTTGGAAGGCTTCTCAACAATTCAGCTACTGCGACACCGGAAAGGTTGCAGTTCTCTATCTTAATGTCAGAAATGGGGCATGCTTTTACAAAAGCCTTAATAAAATATGGAATTAAGCTCCTACAAATATAAAAAGAATGTACAAGGTATTTCAGCAATATTTTTACAAACATGAAACCATTTGAAGTTTAAACAACTCCACTACAGGTTCGGAAGGATACTAAAACCTGATTCCATCATCTTCTATAGGATTATCACTTATATCCATGTTTCTTAAATCAGGCATCTGATTTAACGCATTACTGAGATCCTCTGCATCATCCTTGCACAGATTATTTCCTCTGCGAAAACAATAAATCCATAAAGGACTGGAAAAAGTCAATGACTGATTCAAATAATTGAAAATGAAAACTTTTTATTATCCATCGCGGAAAAGATGTTGCTTTTATACCTTAAATTGAGAACTCTTAACGACTTCAAGGATATCTGTGGTGGTAGCGATAAAGAGAAACCTACAGGACTCCTATCAACTTTGGAAAGCCAACCAGCAATCTGCACCAGAATATTGTTGAACAGCATACATTGCATGAGTTAGAAAAAGAAAATAGGAAACGAAGATAGAGAGGAACCATAAACTTCTGGGGATGCTGATAGGTCACTCACTTCGTCATCTGATATCTCAAGCGTGACCAGACCACAAGAAGACTCAATAAGGGTATTAAAGATAATTTTTGCGCACTTTGGCCCCATTTGAGTGTCACAAAATCGTAGAGACTCCAATGACCTAATGACAATATATTAGACAATTTCCATACAGAAAAAGTAGGCCGGTAAGCACAACTATGTCATAGACCAAGCATTACAATTCTAAAATGATGCCAATAATAGAATGATATTAATCATATCATAAATTAAGGACATTGTTTAACGAATGGAGATAATCATCAGTTGTTGAAAGAGATTGTACCTTCCTGATGATAAGAAAGATGAAAGACCCCCAGGAAAGGAAGATGACTTGCTTTCAAAGATGAATGATGAATTAATGCAGAGGTGCCGTATCCAATGGATTTCACTCCCTCCTACGTAAACAGAATTGCAAATATGATTCCAACTCGCCGGAGAAAGTTGACAGTAGATGAATTCGAGAGATACCAAAGACTCCTTATTCTGGTTCAGAAGCCTGCAAACACCATCAACCTGCAAACATATTAGACGAGGAAAAATGGTAAGTGTGCATTCAAGATCCTAAAATAGGTAATATGACAAATACAGTTAAGATGACACCTAATCAACAGGAAGGCCCACTTATTCTTATCAAATGTCACCCGGCTATCCTATTGTACAAGGACCAGTTTGCTTCATGACATCTTGCATTATAGTCAATGGAGAAATCAGTGTTCCAATAGGTAACCTGTAAAGTAATATAAACAATACAAAAGGCTTTTGCATTGGTCTAGGGTATCATGTCTCGTATAACATTCACCAAGAAGGCATAGAAGTATGAATCAAACTCTTTACAATTTTAGGGGAAGGCCCAGACCTAGTACCAGTCAATATTTGTGATTTCATTATATGTGAAGCACATAAGTTTGAGATAGTTGTTCTGCCTGTGTTGTACAAGATTCACATTCCGAAATAATACTAATTTAAGTTGTAGGAGCAAAGAACCAAACAAGCGTCCTAAAACTACAGTTGCAGTTTAATCCAACCTAACAAGCATCTCTAGGTACCCAAGTTCGAGTTGCACCACAGATCTCATCATAAACAACCTAAAATATTTACTTTAATTGGTTTAAGATTTGGCTGGATGAGGTTAACTATTTAGCTCAAAAGATCCAGTAGATTTACTTATGTAAGCGCTGATCTGAAATTAGGGGTGTAGCAGTTACAAATAATCCAATCTAAAATCGACTCCACAAACCATCTTTCTAAGAGATGGACAACTGTATATGCTTTCTTTAAAATATTTATATAGATAGTGCTATATTATTGCTCCGTATATCCGAATAAATATCCAAATGCAAATGTATACGAACATACAGATTGAGTCTCTTTACTATTACATATGTAACAGAAAGGACAATATTTTTCTCAATTATATGTTAAAGTTGAAGGTTAAATTCATTTTTCTTCAAAATTATCAGGCAGAACCAACAATATACGTTTGCTAATCGAATCCAATCTGAGTCTGAACTTGTTTTTTATCAAATACAGAAAATGAACTCAATATATGGACAGCATACATATCCTTGATAAGGAAACAATCAATAATATTGATATATCTTCGTTTAGACCACTATTTCAAAAAATTATGAACCTTATTTTAGTCATATTGCATACAAGTTGGACTAAATACATCCACTGTGTTAACAAAGTCCTGGTTTTGAAATATATGCATGATTTACTCTGTCCTTCCACCTATATAAACTACTCCGAGCATATGCATTAATCTAAAATCTGTTGTCTTATATATTTACATGCATAAAAATTTTAACCTGCAAACATATCTTTATATTATGTCATTGCCTTTATATAATGTCTACGACAGATTTGAGAAACTGAGTTACATATAATTTCATTTCCTGTATACCAAATTTTTTTGTAATATAGCATTATGAAAAACAAACAACTAGCCCCATGTCAGAATGCCAGCAGTCTGCCATTCACACAACTATCTTGTGTAGAAAGACATAAAATTTATAACTTTAACATTTTAACTCATTTTAAAGTAATAATAATTAAAATCAAAGAGTCTGATAAGAAGCTACTGAAACAAGTAAAACACAATTTAGAAATAGGAAACAAAAATAAAGGAAGACTTTTTAAACTTGAAAAACACTGAATATATACTCTATTCCCTTCCGTCTAACAACATACTTATACTTTTTTCTTCTCCAAAATTGTTATTGATATACCAAATTTGTAAAATGGGCGTCAAGTGATCGGATCCTTGCACAGATTTAGCTGATAAAAACAATTCTTTTAGAGAGAAATTTATTCCACTTTAATACTGCATCATATTCTTGCACCTGTTTGTAATAACTGCATGCTGTAAATAACTACAGTCAGGCATCAACATGATGTTTAATGCCTTGTATCATGTTAGAGATACTTAAGCATTATGTAACAAACATACAGAAAGCTATTTTGATGATGACAGCCTTCATTTAGTGACTGATGTGCATGAAATAGGAATGTAAAACTTACATGAAATTTTGACTTTATCCTCCGAAAGGCCAAAACTCGAAGCTTGCTAGACGTCAAAAGTTCCTGTAGAAGGTACATTAAGTGATTCCTAACATTGTAGTTCATGCCCAATGCAATAAATTCATCATATAAATCACTTTCAGAATGGCTAGAGCATAATAGACAATCTTTTCAAATAGATGCATGGCGTAAAAATCAATGTTAAAAGAAAAAGATAAAATTGAGATAGATCATCATCATCTAAACCTTTTCTCACCAAAATGGAGTCAGATAATTAAGGCTTGCCATAAATGAAAAGGCTGTCAACCTGAAAACAACTCTTTACAGTGTTCTCTTCACAGGCTATGGGTAAGTGAAAAAACTTGCCATACCGTCTTCAAGCAAAATTACACTTGAACTGTCTTTTAACATGAGATTCAAGCTCATGCAACCAAAGTGCAAATGAAAAAAATTCCCCTAGACTTGGTACAAGTCAATAGGGAAGCATAATGGTCTATACGGATTAGGGACTCATGTTTAGCTCAGAGGTATAAGATAAGTCAAACAACTGCATGAAGTCCCATTTCACAAACTTGAGGAAAATATAATGCATCATTAGACCAGAGCACGAACAATTGAAACTTGAATCAGTTACTGTTCTTAAATTTAAGCATAATATATAAATATCAATAGCCACAATAGATTGAGCAGAAACATAATCAAACAGGCACATTAGTATGAGCTGGCGAAAGATGTTGGATATATGTTTTAAGTCTAAATAGTGAGAAGGATAGATCTTGCAGTAGCTACTTTCTAGTTGGAATAGCCTGGAACAAAGTAGCTACTTTCTAGTTGGAATAGCGTGGAACAAAGTAAAGTATCTAAGGAAGTGAAACTTGCAAGACACTGTCAGGCAACATGTAAAATATGCAGGGGAGGCCATAAAACTATGCTTTGTCATAAGGTTGTCCATTACAAAATGACTTAAAGTAAGCTTGCACATATTGCAACAAGATCAACTGTTAGAGATGTATAGGACATCCTAGGAGATGTCTGCCTATTTGTAATGAAAACAAGCATTTCATATTCTAGCAATTCCTGTCAAAGCTATTCTTAAAACTCAGTGAGAATATCATTGACATTGAACTTCCAGGCTTAAAAATAGAAAGTATACAAGAATTGCATGCACTAGCTAATGGTCACTTACACATACTTCAGCAACACAAAGCACATTTTGAAGTCTCAGACATCTGCAATAAAAGGTTGAGTTTGAATAAGCCCTTTCCTGTAATGGAACCATGCATATGCACCCATTACAGAACACAAACAAGAACATATAAATGAAAGAGAAGTATGTGGATGTGGTGATTTGGTTCATTGGCACGTATCTCTTGCCTCATTGATGAATGAACGTCCTACAGCAAATATCACCATGCTTCCCTTCTTCTATGTTCTCACCTTTCCTCAGAAAGTGATTGCATAAGCTTAAACTGCACAAACTGAAGGTAGCTTACCTTACCCTACCTGCCAAATGCCTTAGTAAGCTTATTGTAACATTCTACTTTCACATACTTTTTGGCCAAGAATAGTGAACCACCTTAGTATGGTACACCAGGTTGGTAACTAGTCAAAAAATTTGCCTAATATCTCAAGCGACCTTCTCAATATTAAAGTGACACAGCAACCACATTCTGGTAAGGAAAATGCTTAAGATAAATGGTGATAGATGAAAGCGGTGCATCATTGCAGCAAGTGCTTAAACCCTTTAGGGAAGAAAAAACACCTGAATAGATATCTATACATGCAGTAAGAAGTTAGATATTTTAAAAGGTAAGAAAACTTTTTTTTTTTTTGTGTGTGTGTGTGTGGGGGG